CACGGGCTGCACTCTATAGAGGGCAGTGCTGATGGCAGAACATGAAAGGCCCAGCCCCATGTGATGTCAGCTATGAGCAGTTCTCCAGCTGGTACTGCAGCATGTCTTTGCTGGCCATGCTGGACAAAACTGACCAATGGCACTCATGGTCTCCTTCCTTCTTTTTTCTTTAAAAAAAATTTTTTTTTTTGGCTGCTTTGGGTCTTTGCTGTTGCACGCAGCCTTTCTCTAGTTGCTGCGAGTAAGGGCTACTCTTCGTTGCAGTGCGCAGGCTTCTCATCATTGCGGTGGCTTCTCTTGTTGCAGAGCACGGGCTCTAGGCACGTGGGCTTCAGTAGTTGTGGCATGTGGGCTCAGTAGTTGTGGCGCACGGGCTTAGTTGCTCCGCAGCATGTGGGATCTTCCCGGACCAGGGATCGAACCCGTGTCTCCTGCACTGGCAGGTGGATTCTTAACCGCTGTGCCACCAGGGAAGTCCCATGGTCTCCTTCTTGACACCAGGGGTAACTTGGACACCCAGAACAATCCTGGGGAAAAGCATGGGTCAGCAGTGCCCCAAAGTCTGGCCAAGAAGAGGGTCTGGTGCCAGGAAACTCTGAGGTCGGAGGGTCTGGGCCCAAGCCCTGATGGCCATCGATGGTGTGGCTTCGTCTGCGTCCCTCCAGCGCCTAACCTCAGTCTGCTCATGTCAGAAGGATGAGAAGGAGGCCTGTGCAGGGGTTTTACCAACGAGGTGAAAAGCTGATAAATGCTCCCAGAAGTGGCTGCCCACTGTCCCCCAGCTCAGGCACAGATGGTGAATGAGGACGCACAGACCTGCCCCAGTGTGGGACTGGGGCCGCACTGGCCACCCTCACCTGCTGGTCCCAGTATCTCTGGGGGTGTCAGGGAGAGGGCAGGGGGCGTATGAAGTCCAGATGGATAAGACCCCCAGATGAATGTGGGGGGGTGGTCAGTGACGCACGTGGTCCCCTGCCAGGCTCCTGCAGAAGTCACTGGGGGCCAGAACCGCCGGCCCTGAGGGGCGGGGTCAGGGCGTTGCACACGTGGGTGGGCGGAGCTCTGGCGCCTCAGACAGAAGCGGGCACTGCGGACAGAGTCGAACTATCTGGGGAGAGGGGATTGCAGAGAGCCGCCCCCAGGGCGGACGGAAGGGTGGGCGAGGTGACGGGGTGAAGGTGGGGGCCGCCCGCCCGCCTAGCCATCTCGGGCACCGAGTGCAAAGGTGAAGCCGGTCCTGGGAAAGCCAGACTGGGCAGAGCGTTCCTGAGGAGAGCGACCCCCGCGTCCTTGCCCCGGGGGTCGCCTGGCAGCACTCCCGCGTCCAGTATGTGACCCCCGTTTCCCGCCTCGCCCGGTGCCCGCCCCTCCGCGGCAGCTCCGCGCCTGCTGCAGGCCCGGGAGGAGAGGGTCGTTGCCGTTGAGGGCGGTGGGTCTGCAGCTGGGGAGGTGGAGCGGCGGGGGAGGGAGGGGCAGACGCCCCCATCCTAGAAAGGCTCGGAAACAGCGGCAGCCCATCCCCCATCCAAACCCGCAGCGTAAAGGGCGGTGGCTTTTTCGACCGGGGCGGGTGGCACCGTGTCACAGAGGGTGGTCCCGAGCCCGCAGCGGCGAGGGGAGGGGCGGCGACGCGAGGTGCGGGCGCGGCTCGGCTCAGGTTTCCGTTTCCCGTCTTCTCGCAGCGCCCCCTCCCGTCCCCCGGCCCCTCTGTTGGCGCAGGGAGAGCCCGGGCCCCGCCGGCCCCGGGCTGGGACTCCTGCAAAGGGTCCCGCGCTCCTCCCTCTGACCCCCGAGAAGGCGCGGTCCGACCCGGGTCTGGGGTCCCCGGGCGCCTCCAGGGACCCTGCCCGCATCCCGCGAGCGCGCCCACCCACCCATGGGTCTCGGAGCCATCCTGAGGCAGTCGCTCCCGGCCTGGCACGGCAGCGCCCCAAGGGGCAAGGGCACCCCCGCACCGATGCCCCCACCCCGAGCGGAGCCCCTGCTCTGCGGCCCAAGTCCGTTAGGCTGGCGCCGCAATCCCCGCCTTATGGGCACCGAGTCTCCCCACCCGGCGGCCCTGAACCCCGTCTCCTGCGGGTTCCGCCCGGAGAGCGCCCGCGCCCTTGCAGAGCGTGGGGTCCGAGATGGGAAAACACTCCGTAATCGGCCCAGCGGTGGGCGAGGCCAGACAATAGCCTCTGCTCAGATCCGCCGCCCCAGGACTCCCGATGCCCCGGTGCCTACCGGACACGGTGCTGGCCATGGTGCTGGCGGCGGTGGGGTTGCGGAGGCCGGAGAGGCGCGGGCGGTGGCTGGAGCTGCAGTCGGCGAATGCTGCAGTGTCGGGGAGGGGGCAAGGGAGGGCAGGAGGCGGGAGCAGCGGGGAGAGGGAGGGAGGGGGAGAGAGAGAGAGAGAGAGAAAGCGCCTGGCTGTTGCACGGGCTGCAGCCGTCAGAGGGAGGGGATGATGGGAGGGGAGAGATCAGCCTGGGACGCAGAGCTGAGCGCTGCACTGCAACCCGTTGCCCATCCTCCCACCGCTCACCACTTGGAGCTGGTGCCCCCCCAACCTGGCTTTGTGCACTCCCCGGGGGGATGGCGGAAACAGCCCCCAATTCCCCAGGGTGGGTGCAGCAGGAGGCGATGGGCCTCAACATCAGAGTGGGGTAGGAGAGCTCTTCACTGAGGCCAGTGGAGGCTGGGTGGTGCCTTCTGTGCGCCCAGGCTTGTGCTGAGGGCTAAGCGAGTCATGGATGGTGAGGGTGGGGGCTGGTCTGGAAGGCCTCCAGGGGCATCCGAGAGCAGCTCCTGAGGCAGAGAAGAGGGTAAATTGATGTGAAGAGGCCTAGAACAAAGGCTTTGGAGCGAGACGGAGACTGGAGCCAATCCCAGCTCTGACATCTACTTGCTGTGTGACTGAGGGCGAGTTTCTGACCTCTCTGGGCCTCCATTTCTCGGGTGTGAGATGAGACAATGGTGTCAGTGCCCAGGTGGTGTAGGAGAGATGTGCACACTTGGTGAGTCGGTGGCGTCCTGCCCCTCCCCCCGCCAGACTCAGGGGTTTGGTTGATACCCCCAAAGGCAGAGCTGTTCCCGCAGTGACCATGTCACCTCTTTGGTGATGGGGATGGGAAGTCAGGCAGATGGAGCGTCATTCCCGTTTTAGGGACGGAGCCACTGAGGCCAAGAGAAGTGCTGACTCCACAAGCAATGAAGTCCTAGAACCAGAGCTAGATCTCTGGGAAACCTCGGGAACACACAGAGAGATGAGGAGGGCCCAGGACCTCTGTGTGCACACACAGCAAGCATGTGACTGGTTAACATCTGTCCTGTGGTCCACATGGGGTCGGGTCCACCGTGGGAGTCCCACAGAGCCTGGCAGAGCAGACACTCAGTGCAAGTTGGTTGACTTGCTCGAGATCGCAGTGCCTGCTGAGTGGGCTTGCTATGGCCAGCCTTCTTCTCCCCTTCTGCTCACCTCTCAGGACTCAGTACCACAGCATTTACGTGTTATAATTAATAGGAGCCTGGGCAGGAGTCCCTATGCACAATGTGTGACCAGGGTCCTCAGCTCCCTTTCTGGCCCAGGAGTTTGCCAAGTCTCTGGGTCCTGGACTTCCCTTCCTTGGACTTTTGTGGGGGAAATGCCATTACTCTCAGAAGATGGGGGGTGTGGAGGTGAAGAGTGGGACTCCTGGCTCTGGGACTTGCTGCCGTCTTTGGGAAATCTACTAACCACCCACCCCGTGCTTCCTTTCCTCACCTGTAAGGACTGGATCATAAAAGCACTTATCTCAGGGGTCGTTGGAAGGACAACCGTGTTAATGCCGGCATGGATGGTACTGAAATGTGTGCCTAGTGAGCATTCAGCAAGTGTGTGGCCGGGTCTCCTCTTCTCCAAGCTCCCTGCTGAGATAGACACTCTACTGTCCCCTCACTGGAACAAGTGGGTGTGGGTGGATGCCAGTGTGTGCCAGGGGCTTCCCCAAGCATGATCTCACACACATCAGCCTAGACACTCATGTGGCATTAAGGTGCCATCAGTGGGAAAACATCTGGACATTAAACAGCCCACAAGACCCTCTAAAATCAGCCTTGCCAGCTGACTGTGGGCTGTCACTTCAGCGTCAGTTTCTCCCTGGTGCTCTTTGGGGCATGCTGGGGTCACCTAGACAAACACTTCTTTTTTTTTTAATATTTATTTATTTGGTTGCGCTGGGTCTTAGTTGCGGCTCATGGGCTCCTTAGTTGTGGAATGTGAACTCTTAGTTGCAGCATGCATGTGGGTTCTAGTTCCCTGGATCAGGGATGGAACCTGGGCCCCCTGCATCGGGATTGCAGAGTCTCAACCACTGCAGCATCAGGGACGTCCATAGACAAACACTTCTGACCACACAGAGCTGTGCAGACCCCTGGAACCTCCCTATTGACTGCCAGCTGGTGCTGGGTGCTGGGGATTCAGAGGTCCCGCCCTGACCAGTGGGGGACATTGACCGGAAAAGCGGCTGGACCTAGAGGACAGTAAGGAGAGGATCTGGTGAGGCTCTCAGGAGCCGAGTCACGGGCAAGGGACAGCCATTTGCGAAATTTAAGGAGAGTGATCAGCTCAGACTCGAGTCTTTAAAAGACCTCTGGGTCTTTCGAGAAAAGGGAAGCCACAGGAAACCTGTTAGAAGGCTTGTGCTGTTGTCCGGGCAGTTGTCCGAGGGGGCTTGGCCCAGGGGGGAAGTGGAACGGAGACCCTGGTGGGGAGGGAGGAGACGGCGGGACCCCAGGTTCGTGCCCGCGGGCGAGGAGGTGCCGGTCTTCGGGCTCAGGGTCAACTGAAGGGGCGGGTGCGACGTGGAACGCTGCGCGCCATCAGAGCGCGGACCCCGAGGGAGGGGACCAGTTTCCGGCCGAAGCACTGCGCAGCGGACCGGAATTGGGGGCGGAAGTGCAGCGCGTTCACGGATGACTGCGCGCCTCAGCCCGCAAGGTCGGACCGGCTGCCTCCTGAGGACGCGGTGGTGGTGAGTCGGACGGACTGGGGCGAAGTCCTGGAGATCCCGGTCGTGGAAGGCTCCCCGCCGAGACCCTGGCACTGGAACCTGTGCCCAAGCGGCGGCTTCCGCAACTGCAACTCCCGGCAGGCCCCGCGCAGCCCTCGGGCCGCGCGCTGGCGATTTTGGCGCGCTGCATTGTGGGGCGCGTAGTGCCCGGCTCCGAGCTCGTGGAGGGCGCCGGGTCCGCGGGAAGGGCGGCCCGGCGGGGTTTAGGAGCGCGGGCTGTTAGTCCGAGTGTCCGTGCGAAACCAGGCCTCGGGGGGCTGAGTGGTTTGCTGGGCGCCGCACGGATTCGCGTCCCAGGTCAGAGCAGCACACGTGCTCTTTCGCTGCCCACCTGGGAGGGATGGGGCTGGTCCGTGGAGCGGAGGGTTGGGAGCCGCAGGGGCGGGGGGGTCCCGACCGGCCCAGGCTGGGGGGGGGGGGCTCCGCTGGGAACTGTGGCCCCTCAAGCTCTGGCGGAGGTCAATGCAGTGTTATTGCGGGTGGAGCACGTGGAGCTGCATCTGGCCCCTGCCCTGTCGCCTCTCCCGGAGCACGGTGGAGCTGCCTGGGGCGGGAGAACAAGACAGGGCCGACATCTCTCCGAGCTCCTTATGACAGGATGTCACAGGCTCGCCTTCGGACCTGTTTGCGGAGGCACTGCCTGAGGGGACTGGTGAAGTGGCCTGGCGCTCGGGGAAAGGGTCGCTACAAACAGTTTTGTCATTGCAGTCTCTGCCATAGGGGCTCCCGTGGAGAACGTGTCCCAGCGGCACAGGCTGGCATAACTTACCTGGAGCGGCTGAGACCCTGAGATGTTCGGAGAGGGGTTTGTCTCGCAGACCCACACAGCTTGCGTTTCAGCCAGCCTCTGTGTCCGCCCGAGACAGAGAGTAGGCCAGTATGCCCAAGATAACCCTGAATGGCGTGACAGTGGATTTCCCTTTCCAGCCATACAAATGTCAAGAGGAGTACATGAGCAAGGTCTTGGAGTGTCTGCAGAAGGTGAGGCTGCAGACGGAGGGGCTTGTTCCCAGGGGATGGGTCAGAGTGGGTAGAGCCTCAGCAAGACCCAGTGTACACGCACTGTCCCATTTACTCCGGCCAGGTCCTCCTGGTGAAGCTACCCTTCTGGACGTGGGAGGCGACCATAAATAGGGCTCATGTTCTAGGTGGGGTAGGAGAGATGCTAAACAAATAAACAAAAAGGATAATTCTAGACGGTGAGGAGTGCTGTAAAGAAAAGACATAAGGTGATAGACTTAAGAGCGCCTTGGGGGCCTCTCTGCGCAGGTGGAATGTGAGTGAGGCCAAGCGATGAGGGCGTCCAGCTGAGGGTCTGGAGGAAGTATTTCCACACAGAGGGACAGGTGGTGCCCAGCCCTCCTTAGGGGAGGTCGTTAAACCTCAGGGGGTGCAGCTTGCTTTCTGCTGGGTTTCTGGGCATGCCCTCTTGTACCCTGCCCAAGCCCCCAGCCCTTGAGGGCTGCCTCTGTAGCTGGGCCCATGTTCCCATGCCTGCGGCAGCTGGGGGCAGCTTTGCAGACATGGCTGTGTCGGCCCAAGTTTCCACTCAGGCTACCGGCCGAGAGCTATGTAGACCGTCAGGTTCCGTTCAGGTAGTGTAACTGCTTGGATCCAGAATCAGAGTCAAACTCCCATTCTGGGGCTTGACACCTAATTAGTCATCTTCCTGTTTATATTAGGCTGAAAAATACCGTGGTATTTTGGGTAATGCTCTGTAAATTGTTTGCTAATGAGACCTGGTTTGGTCTACAGCTTTTGGTTTGAGAGTGGAGAGGTCCTGCGGCATTTTACGTCCCCCGCTGAGTGGGGGCAGAGCTGCCCCAGGGGCTGCAGGGCTTGTCTCAGGTGGGCTGTGTGGCCTGCAGAGCCTGCCCCTGCTCCCCCGTGACCCTGTTCCCCACCCCATTTAGAAAGTGAACGGCGTTCTGGAGAGCCCCACGGGCACGGGGAAGACGCTGTGTCTCCTCTGCAGCACGCTGGCCTGGCGGGAGCAGCTCCGAGACGCTGTCTCTGCCCGCAAGATTGCCGAGAGGGTGTCAGGGGAGCTCTTCCTTGACCGCGCCTTGGCGTCCTGGGGGAACGCTGCCCTGGAAGGAGATGTCCCAGGTGATGCCCCTTTTTGCCCCTTTTTGCCCCTTTCCTGGTCCCGGGCTGGGAGGCGGGGAAGGAAGGGGGGTTGTAGCTGCCATGTCATTTCTCGCCATCCTGGCTGTAAACCTAGGGTCAGAACCTTATGGCCAAATGAGGACCCTGCAGAGACCCACTGCACTCCTTCCTGTAGCGAGTATTGGGCATCGATGCTTAGCTGTCCCCGGGCCGAGTTAGCTGAGTGCCCCGGGTTAACTGCACACGTGGGCCATGACCTGTCCTGTTCCCTTGTGCCGGGCAGCGTGCTACGCGGACGTCCCAAAGATCATTTACGCCTCCAGGACCCACTCGCAGCTCACTCAGGTCATCAGTGAGCTCCGGAACACCTCCTACCGGTGGGTCAGGCGGCGTCCACCCCTGCCTTGGGGTCACGGGGGTGTTCTGCCTGGACCCCACCCTGGGGTCGCGCCGTGCTCTGGCTGTGGGGCTGCCGCCCTGACCTCAGGCTCATACCCTGAGCTCCTCGCAGCCATCGGGGTGTCAGCTGTGGGCATGGGTCAGGGCAGCTGTGCGGGGGAGGCCCTGCTCCGTGTTGGAGCCCCCAGCACTGCTGCAGGAGAGTTGGTGTCCCCTCCCCGCCGGCCTCCCACGAGAGGGAGGATGCAGGGGCAAGGTCTCCCTGAGGCCTGCCCCAGTCTCTCGGCCTCGCCCTGGATGCTGACTCAGAGCAGGCCGTGCCACGGTGAAAGCCCCTCTCGAGCCTGGGGCGGATTTCCGCCCCAGCCACTCCCTCTGGCTGCCCGGGCGTGTGAGCCAAGCTTCCCTGGGCTCCCGGTGCAGCCCACGTGGCTCCTGCCGCTGGACAGCACTGGGGCCCCCGCCGTCTGATCTTTGGGCCCCCCAACCGTCTCCTCCACCAGGCCCCGAGTGTGTGTGCTGGGCTCCCGGGAGCAGCTGTGTATCCATCCCGAGGTGAAGAGGCAGGAGAGTAACCACACGCAGGTGGGCTCCTGGGGCGCCCAGCCTGGCCTTGGTGGGTCTGCTGCTGCTGCGTGGGTGCTGCCCCTGGGAGACGGAGGGGTAAAGAGCTGGCGGGGGTGGAGCTGGGAGGGGGTGCCTGGCTGGGGCTGGGGCAGGGCTCGGCCGTCACACGAGCCCAGACCTCATGTTCACCCAGGTCCACTTGTGCCGCAAGAAGGTGGCAAGTCGCTCCTGTCACTTCTACAACAACGTGGAAGGTGAGAAGGCTCGAGGTGGTGCCTCCTGCCCACGGAGAGCGCGCTGCAGGGGGAGTGGAGTCTGGGCGCCTCTGAGGGCTGGGCTCAGCGGCCTCCTGGGCTGCTGGCTGCTGCCCCTCAGTGCCCCGCTCTGGGCTGTCGAGGTGCCTGCGCTCTGTCTCCTGACGACCGGCATTGGCGTGCGTGCAGAGGAGCTCACGCGGTGGGGCCGAGGAAGGGCCTGAACCGTGCCAACAGCATGCTTTGTGCAGAGTGCGTGCTCCCTTCTGGAGGGCTGGAAATTGGGTGCCTGCCAGTCAGGGGTGCCCCCTGGGCGCTGGGTCTCTGGAGAGCATTTCACTCTTGGTCTCAGCTCGTTCTGGGGGAGTCAGCCAGGGAGGGGGTACTGGAAGCTCCTCCACGTGTTTTTCCCTTTGCTGATTTTGTGGTGCATCCTGTCACTGCCGCCTGTAACTCGGTGGGTGTGACGTGCCCTGAGCCCCTGGGGTCCTCCTAGTGACTCCTCCAGCCTCATCCAGAAACGGACGAGAGTGGAAAGCGCAGTGTTTGTGACAACGGCCGGCCCAGGTGCGGTGTGGTTGTGTGACCGCAGGTGCCCAGGGCCCTGTGAAGGGGACCCTTTGTCTCCTGTCACTGACTTTCTTGGGGCCCAGAGTGGAAGGGCGGCACTGGTGCCCTTGCCTCCGAATTCCTGCTTTTCCGCCTGTGGCTGCCCTTTGTGTCTGTCAGGACTTCTGGAGCCAGAGGTGATGGCAGAGAGGCTTCTCTGTGGTGTGGCCTTTCCAGACGGGGCTGTGTGGCCTGGGGGCGGGGTCACGCTTCTGTGGGGTCAGGGCTCCCTCTGTTTCCTGCCTCAGGGTTGGGACTCAGACCCTGCAGTGAGCCGGGCCCCAGAGAGTTCACATTGGTGACCCGCAGGCCACCGTCTACTTGGGTTGCGAGAGCCCAGCGGGCCAGGCCTGTGCTAGGCAGTGGGTCAGGACAGCAGTACGGTCCCAGAGGCCTGAGCTGGGAGTCCCAGCGCCCTTGGAGAGAGGGAGGGGGGTTGCCTGATGCGGGCTTGGGCTCTGGCGGGCCGGCTGTGGGTAGGGCTGCACGGCTTGGCCTCTGGGGCGATGACCCAGGCTCCCAGGCTCATTCCTCACCGCCTTCCCCTTGGCGGTGTCCCTTGGTCTGGTGGCGCCAAGGACCCTCAGGACAGCAATGAAGTGTAAGGCTGAGGATGGCCTGTGGCAGCTGTCGTGGCCCCGGGCTGGAGACTGCTGGCCGCCAGCTCTGCTGTCCTGTCGGCGTCAGGCCTCTGGGTGTCGGGTCGCCTGAAGGCTGCTCTCTTGTCCTCGTCCCCCCGCTGCTTGGCCCTCTGTCCTCAGTCCTGCCTTCCCACGGGCCCTGGTGTCAGGCCCGTGATGCTCGACGGAGCTGCCCCCCCTTTGCTGCACTGTGGCTGCCTCCCCTGTCCTTGTCCCTGGCAAAGGGGGTTCCAGGTGTCCTGTTGGCCACAGGCCAGAGCCGTTAGGGTGTGAACCGCTCCAGCCACGTTTCCACAGCAGCTTGGAGTGGCCAGCTTGCCCACTCTGCTGGACCAGCCCTCACCTGCAGGGTCCTGTCCCTCACCTGCAGCACCCCTCACCTCACCTGGAGGGTCCTTGAGGAGGGAGGGGCCAGGAGGCCAGGGGACGGGTGGGAGCTGGGGGGAGCTTCCCATCCATGGTGGAGGCACCCTTGGAGCTGCTGCGTGTTGGGCCCCTGGCTGCAGGCCCCTCCCCGCTGCCCCAGGCCCTGTGTGGCAGAGCAGGGGCTGTCCCAGCTGGCCTGCTGGCTCTGGCCTCTCTGTCCCCTCCCCAGTCCCTGCCCCTGCTCTGCTGTGCTCTTTCTGCCTGTTCATCGAGGGCATCCACTCACTGTAAGCCGGTGCCCCCCGGCTGTCTCAGCCTCCTTTACCAGCTGACGCACGGGATGCGATGGGGTGTCTCCAGCAGGTGCCCAGGCCTTGCAGGGGGAGAGGAGTGGGCAGAGACCCCAGGAGGGGTCTGAGAGGCGTGCAGAGTGGGAGCCCTGCCTGGCTGCGTCCCGCGGGGAGCAAGCAGTGTGGCCCGGCCAGGCCCCTCCCTCCTCTCCACTGCCCGCTCCCCAGCCCCCCTCGCCCCAGGTAGGTGACTGAGCTGTGGGACCGGCCTGCTGCAGAGCGTGCCGATTGGCTGGTCTGTTGCTATGGTGCTGCTGAGTGGATGGCTCTTCTTCCTTCCCCTGCCTGCTGTGGGGGGGGGGGCACCCTGGGGGCGGCCACTGCTGAGGGCCTGTGTGTTCTGGTCTGTGCTGTTAAGGGCTGGGCCTGGTACCTGCCCCAGTGGGACTGGGGGCCGGGGACCTGTGTCCACATGGGGCTGCCCTGAGACTCTGGGTGCTAATTAGAGGAGACCTTTGCTCCCATCTGCTGGGACGGGCCTGGGTGTCGCTGGGTTATAGTACTTCCCTGGCCGATTCCTATGGGCCCGACTGGGGGGCCTGTGTCCCTTCTTGAGGCCCGTCCCGCCCAGGGACACACAGCCAGCAGGGAGTGGGGCCTGTCTGGGCTGCATCCTGAGGAAGGGGCGGGGCCCCAGGGCTGCAGGGCCTCAGGTGGGCTCTGCGCCTCCCGCCCGGATAGCACAGGCAGTGACAGCAAATCGTTTCTGCCGCTGGCCGTGTGCAGCCTGGCTTCCTTAAGAGGGAGACTCTGGGCTTGTTCTTGGGGGAGTGCGGTGAAGCGAGAGGAAGGGACTTGCTGCCAAACTGAAGCCTGATTGCAGGGCAGGTGCCCCGGTGCTCACGGGAGCCGCCCCGGCCTGGAGAGGGTCTGGTGGTGACAGGCTGAGGGCCGGCCCCCACCCCACCCCACCCCGGGGTCTCCTCTTGGTGTTCAGCCTCAGGCCTGCATCTGCCCAAGGCACAGAGCAGGGCTCCCTTGGGACTCGCTTTAGGCTTGGCGCCCTCCCCAGGGGCTGCCTGTTGCCAGGAGCCATTCCATCCCGGGTGCCTCCCGCGGTCCGGGTACTCTGGACCAGAGAGCCTGTGTTTACGCCCGCCCGTGTCCCCAGAGAAGAGCCTGGAGCCGGAGCTGGCTTGCCGCGTCCTGGACATCGAGGACCTGGTCAGCAGTGGGACGAGGCACAGGTAACCCGCCAGGGCTGGGCTCCCTCCATGCGCACAGGCAGGCACGTTTCTCTCCTGAAGCATCGGAAGAAGTGAGACGCTCCTTCCCAGCCCCCAGCCCCCTGCCCCCGCCCACTGGGCCTTTGTTCCTGGGGCATCCATCTCGTTCTCCACCTGACACTGCCCCTCCTCTCTGAAGCTGGCTGCGACCTTGTAGCTTCAGGGCTCCAGTCGTGGTGACACATGCCCGACTGCCCTGCTTCTCACCATCTCATCCACCTGCCCAGGATCAGGCTTGGTCTTTTTGTTTTTGTAGATTTTTAAATGAGTGACCCACTCACACGGTTGAAAACTGATGGTGTGAGGGGTGGCCGGCAAGCCTTCCCGCTGCCCCAGGCCGTGGCTCTCTCGCACCCCGGGGAACCCTCCCAGCCTGCACTGTGCCCCAGCACCTCCTCTCCCTCCAGAGTGTGCCCCTACTACCTGTCTCGGAACCTGAAGCAGCAGGCCGACATCATCTTCATGCCCTACAACTACCTGTTGGACGCCAAGGTAAGGCCTCGGCCTGCGTAGCTGACGATGCCTGATGGCAGGGCACGTCCCAGGCTCAGGAGGGGCCGGCAGAGCCCATGCTGGGATCAGACCTTCGCTCGGAGCCAGCACTTGGAGCCACAGGCTGGCACCGAGGGACCAGCCCCTCACCGGCCCGAGGCTGTGACTCGTTCTGAGCTCTGGGAGTGTGTGGCCTGGTAGGAGTGAGGGGACCCCACGCGGCCGGGGTCCATGTCCCTCTCTCCAGCTGGACCCCGCGAGACCGCCTGGGAGCATCAGCCTCAGCCTGGCGTCTTCCTCTCTTGCTGTAGAGCCGCCGTGCATATGGCATCGACCTGAAGGGGACGGTCGTGGTCTTTGACGAAGCTCACAACGTGGTGAGTGTCTGGGTGGCCTTCCTGACACCCCCTTCCTCCGGCCCACTTTCTTGCGCACAACAGCTGGGCCTTTCTGTCCAGACCCCCGCGTCCCACCGTCAGGACCAAGCAAAACTGGGCAAGGTGGGCTGCCGACCTGTGCCTGCCATTTGCACGCAAGACCCCCAGACCCTTCCTGCCATCTCACTCCTTCTCTTCCCTTTTGTTCCTGGTGGCTGCCTCCCTGCTGCCTGCTCGCCCTGCCCCTCCTGTCCTGTGGCCTGTGTCAGGGCCCAAGGACCATGTCTCCAGGAGTCGTGGACCTTGACCAGAGCACTGGAAGAGGAAGGCCACCTGGGGAGCCTGGAGGGGTCCACAAGAGCCTGGCATCCTCAGCCCCACTGGGTTCCAGGCAGTTGTTGGCATGGGGACGGTGGGCCCGTGGGCCAGATTCGGCTTTCGAGAGAAGCTAGAAGCTAGAGTTTAACGGGAAATTTTCTAACTATAAAATGTAGGCAGGTCAAGTAAAATTGTTTTCAAACACTGTCTGGGCCAGACATCCATCTCTGGGCCAGTTTGAGACCCGGCCTTGAGAACACAAGGGGCCTCTTGCTTCCCCTCCCTCTGCCCCCCGTCACCTCTGCCTCATCGAGCCCCGTGACGGGTGTGCTCGGGCTCACAGGAGAAGATGTGTGAGGAGGCCGCGTCCTTCGACCTGACGCCCCACGACGTGGCTTCGGGACTGGACGTGATAGACCAGGTGCTGGAGGAGCAGGCCAAGGTGGCGTGGCAGGCCGAGCTCCACCCAGAGTTCAGCGCGGACTCGGCCAGCTCAGGTGCGCTCGCGGGCAGGGACCGTAGACCAGACGAGGGGCCAGTCTGCCCAGGGCCCTTCTTTCAAGTCTGCCTCAGGGGCAGCGCCAGCCTCTGTAAGAGTCTTGGCCTCACAGATGGAGGTGGGGAGGTGGGTACTGCCCAACCTGTCAGCACTCTCTCAAGTCCTTTTCACCGTTTCCCCAGGGGTGTGAACTTGCCTCTACTGCAAGGAAGTGAAAACCAAGGGTGTCAGCCGTAATGACGTTTTGTAAGGACCCGCGAGCATCGTCCACAGGAACGGCGCTCAGCGACTCATACCCCGCGTTTTCCTTTTGCAGCAGTGATTGCAGTGTGTGTAGAAATACTTGGTGGACGCAGTTGGTTTGTCCAGACATTCTGCGTGGCCTTTGTTAGTGTTAGGAATCCACCTCTTGCTCGCCAGACCACTTTGTAGCAAGCGTTCCTACTGTCGAGTTGCTGCAGGTTCGTAGCATTTGCGCCCGGCCCTTTGGACGTCACCCACGTCCTGTCGTGTCCTTCACGCGAGTGTGGGGCGGGGCGTGAACAGCCTCAGCTTCCCGGTCCCTTTACAGTCACACACATGGACAGACTCCAGAGGGCGCAGAGGCCCCTTCTCCCGCCAGGCCACCTGCTTCGGCCCCCTCTGCAAGGGTCTCCGGGCCTTCTTTGACGCGCTCACAGGCTGTGTTGGGGGAGAGAAGGTTTGTAAACGGCTTTGTGTGTTTAGCACAGAAGTTCTCAAACGTGTTGGCCTCAGGACCCTTTATGTCTTAAACTTTACGTTCTTTTTTTTTTTTTTTTTGTGGCCTCTCCTGTTGCAGAGCACAGGCTCTGGACGCGCAGGCTCAGCGGCCATGGCTCACGGGCTTAGTTGCTCCGTGGCATGTGGGATCCTCCTGGACTGGGGCACGAACCCGTGTCCCCTGCATCAGCAGGTGGACTCTCAACCACTGCGCCACCAGGGAAGCCCAAACTCTACGTTCTTGAAACGTACTGAGCTTTGTTTATGTGAGTTACATCTATGGATAATTAGTGTATTAGAAGTAAAAACTAAATAACAAACTGTTACGTGTCAATTTCGTAGGGCTGCCTTAACAAAGTACCACAAGCTGGGAGGCTTCAACAACAGAAGTTTATCCTCTCAGTTCTGGGGCTAGACGTCCACGTGTTGGGTGTCAGCCGGGGTGGCTCCTTCTGTGAGTTCCTGGGGCATGTGCTCGAGGCCTCTCTGTCCCAGCTCTGGCAGCTACTGGCAGACCTGGGCTTGTAGACGCCTCACTGCAGTCCCACTCCCATCTTCACATGGTGTCCTCTCTCATAGGGATGCCTGTCACTGGTTGAGGGCCCAACCCACTCCTCTAGGACCTCATCCTAACTGACCGTATCTGCAAATAAGGTCACATTCACAGGGGTCAGGGTTTAGGATTTGAACATAGCTTTCTGGAGGACACAATTCAATCCATGACATGTTAACATAAATAACACTTTTTTGGAAAAATATTTTAAAAATTAGAAGAGTGGCATTATTTCAGTTTTGCAAATCTCTTTAATATCTGGCTTAATACAAGGTAATTGGATCTCGTAACTGTTCCTGCTTTGGGCTGACGTGATACTACACACCATGGCTGTATTCATTTCCGAGTGCTGCTAAAAGAAATTTCCAGACTTAGCTTAAAGCAACTCAAACGTATTATCTCATGGTGCCCAGAAGCCCAGGATGGGCCAGCAGCGCTTTTCCTTCTGGAGTCTGCAGACGGGGATCCGTTTCCTGGTCTTTTACAGCTTCTAGAGGTGCCACGTTGTTTGGCTTGTGGCCCCACGTCTCCGACCTCTGCTTCTTCGGTCTCCTCTGATTCTGTAAGGACCCTGCTGTTCCATTTTGGGCCACCCCAGATAATCCAGGATTATCGCCCCATCTCGAGGTCCTCAACTTCATTGCATCTGCAGGTCCCTTTTGCTGCGAAGCTGACCTATTCATGGGTTCCAGGGATTAGAACGCGGACATGTGTGGGGACCAGTATCAGCCTCTGGGAAACTACACTGTATATTTGTGAGAGAAAGAAGGAAAAAGGCAAATCGTGTATCCATAGGAAGAGCAGTAGCGGCAGTAGCAGCACCACGGAAATAGGTTGGCCCTGCGGCCGTCCTGGGCAGGTCTCGGGCCAGGTCCCTTGGCCTGCTGAGCTCCGCTGCTTAGGTGTCCTCGTGGATACATGGTCCTTGCTTCACCGTCTTTACCTGCGATGGGAATTTCTAAGTCAGCTGCTTTCGACCCCGAATGCATGTACATGAGTAAATAGGTCAGCGTTTCTCCAGGGATGTATCTAGGAATGGATTTTTTCTGATTGACAGTCACGTGCATCATAAACCTTGCTGTTTTAAAATTGTCTTTTACTTTTAAAGTTGGATGTTGTTTTAGGACATTTTTTTCTTTTGAAAGCCCAGTAATTTTGCTGCAGTTTGTCTCAGTGTTGATTTTCCGGATCGACGTATGATGACCTCTTTCAGCCTGTAGTTCCAAGTCTCCTCTTACCTGGGGGGATGTTGTCCCGCACGGCAGCGCTCACGGCCTGGCCTTGGCTTCGGTTTCTGCTCCAGGGATCATGTCGTGTCTCTTCCACCTGAGTTCAGAACCTGTTACTCTCTCAGATCCTTTTGTCTCTATTTTTCTTTGACTTATAAAAATTCCCCCCTTTCACCATGTGTTTCTTTTAAGATGATGTGGCATGTATCTACTTTTGTGTTCTTCTAATTTAATCTTTATTTCTCAAGTGTTTTTTTCTCCTAGTTGTCTCTGAGTTCTGTTGCTTCATTTCTGAGCTTTAGAAAACCTGGCTCGTGTTGTTGTTTCATGTCTTTTTTTTTTTAATTATTTATTTATTTTTGGCTGTGTTGGGTCTTCGTTGATATGCGCGGGCTTTCTCTAGTTGTGTCTAGCGGGGGCTACTCTTCGTTGCGGTGCGCTGGCTTCTCATTGCAGTGGCTTCTCTTGTTTCAGAGCACGGGCTCTAGGCACGCGAACTTCAGTAGTTGTGGCACGCAGGCTCTAAGCACAGACTCAGTAGTTGTGGCGCACTGGCTTAGTTGCTCCGGGATCTTCCAGGACCAGGCCTCGAACCCATGTCCCCTGTGTTGGCAGGCGGATTCTTAACCACTGTGCCACCAGTGAAGTCCCCGTTTCATGTCTTATATCCTGTTCCGACACCCTCATTTTCTGTTTTCTCACCAGCTCACAGATAACTTGCTACAGCTGCTGCGTGCCTTCCCCAGACCCCGCGGCTGATGCTCTGCCCCATTTGACCAGCCCCGCACTGAGTGGACAGGTTCCCTGTTTCTCTGCCTCCTTCAGGGCGGTTGCCGGCCTGACACCTTTACTCTGTGTCTTAGCGTGTGTTTCCTGAGAACAAGGGCATTCTTTTTGACGATCCGATCATAAAACCAGCATCCGTACTGCACTCTCGTCTAATCGGCAGCCGCATTAGAATTTTCCCAGCTGTCCTCGGTAAGGCCCGAAACACAGCCACCCCTCTGCCTGGTGCCATGGTCTCTGGGCCTGTGAAGAGAAAGGCTAGTTACTTCGTCGACTGTCCTACTGTTTGGATTTGTCCGCTGTGTTCTCGTGGTTGGATTCAGGGTTTGCATTTTGGTGGGAATACCGCGGACTTGCGTCGTCTCGCAGGTGATGTTGGTGGCGTTAACTTCAGTATGGTTACGTGGCGGCTGCCGGGTGTTTCTGCCGTGCGGTCACTGCTTTTCCACTTGTGATTCTGAAGTCGCTTGTGGTATCCATTAATGAGCCGTCCCTGAAGTCAGGATTTCCACGATGTTTGCAGAATGATGGGTCTTCTTATCCTCCCGTCTTGTGCGTGAGGTCTTGCTCTCACCTCCGCATCCGTGTCAGCCTGTGAGCCCACGCGCTTAGGCACACTCACCCCCACGCCCGTGCACGTAGAATTGTGAGTTCACGCTCTCCCCCGCCCCAGTTTTAGTCCAGAGCCACGCAGTTATTCTTCTTTCCTCCCTTTCCACGTTTGTAACGCCTTTTGTGAGGAAGCGAGCTTTCATTTTTTCTCAGTATCGTACTTAACTTGTTTGATCCTAGAACCCACAGACAGTTGTTTGAGAATCGCCAGCCCACCCACGATAAATGAACACCTGCTCACTAGGTTTAATGTTTGTTCGCGTCCTTTTCGTCGTTGGTCTGCGACCACAGAGTGAAAATGCTCATTCAGAGGCTCCTTGGGTTGTTTCTTTCCGCTTCACTGTGGTCATATTATTCATTTTAAGCTCACTTGTAATGTTTATATTTCATTTCATACTCCATTTTTTGCCGTTTATGTTGATCTTATTTATTTATTTTTGGCTGTGTTGGGTCTCCGTTGCACGTGGGCTTTTCTCTAGTTGTGGCGAGTGGGCTACTCTTCATTGCGGTGCGCGGGCTTCTCATTGCAGTGGCTTCTCTTGTGGAGCACGGGCTCTAGGCGCACGGGCTGCAGTAGTTGTGGCACGTGGGCTCAGTAGTTCTGGCACACGGGCTTAGTTGCTCCGCGGCATGTGGGATCTTCCCAGACCAGGGCTCGAACCCGTGCCCCCTGCATTGGCAGGTGGATTCTTAACCACTGCACCACCAGGGAAGTCCCAGCAGGTGGATTCTTTTTTTTTTAAAGAAGGTGTCGGGAGTAGGAGTTTATTTATTTATTTACTTTTGCCGTGTTGGGTCTTCGTTTCTGTGCGAGGGCTTTCTCTAGTTGTGGCAAGCGGGGGCCACTCTTCATCGTGGTGCGCGGGCCTCTCACTGTCGCGGCCTCTCTTGTTGCGGAGCACAGGCTCCAGACACGCAGGCTCAGTAGTTGTGACTCACGGGCCCAGCTGCTCCGCGGCATGTGGGATCCTCCCAGACCAGGGCTTGAACCCGTGTCCCCTGCATTAGCAGGCGGACTCTCCAACAACTGCACCACCAGGGAAGCCCTCCTTTGCCTTTGTCCAGGACAGTTTCTCAGACCTCCCTTGGTGGTTTGGAGGAGGACTGCCCTGACGTTGTGTAGAATGCCCCTTCATTGGGGTTTGGATTTGTGTGATGTTTCTCCCCTGGACGTACAGGGGTGTGGGATTTGGGGAGGAAGGGCTCAGATGCGCAGGGCCCGCCTCATTGTATCGCATCCAGGTCCCTGCAGTTAACGCCGCATGCCTTATGACCTTGATTGCCAGCTGAAATCGGCTTTGTCAGGGGCTCCAAGTTACTCGTTCCCCTCCTTTCCACACTGTTCTCTTTGGACAGAGGTCGCTCTGCACAGCCCACACCTAAGGAGTGGGGTTGTTCACCCAGATGTCTATCCCCATGACCCTGCGTTAGGCAGCAGCTTCATAGAAGTAACACCAACAGCACAAGCACCCAGAGAAAAAATAGATAAACAGGACTTAACAAAATCAAAAACGTTTGTGCGTCAGAGGCCACCATCAAGAAAGCAAAGACATCCCACAGAACAGGAAGAATTTTTTGCAAATAACATATCTGATAAAGGATTTGTATCTAAAATAGGGAGGAAACCTTTTAACGACTCAACAAAAAGACAACCCAACCCAATTGAAAAACGGGCAAAAGATATGAATAGACACTTCTTGAGAGGCACACAGATGGCCAGTGTGCACATGGAAAACGGAGCCCATTGGTCACCAGGAAAACGCAGCTCAGAACCATGTCCATGTGCATAGCCACAGGGTCTCTCTGAAGGTGACCGCCCCCCTCAGCTCAGGCTGCTGCTTCCAGGTCAAGTTCCAGCCGTGTGGGTTTCAGAGCCTCTTCTGTCAGTGTCTTGCCCTCCACACCAGCATCCTGGCTCCTTAGGACGGGGTGGTGGAATTAGAAGGATGCAGACTTGTGCATTTGCGCTTTCCTTTGCCCAGGGCTGAACTTGGAGCTAGAGGACCTCGCGAAGCTGAAGAGTAAGTGCCCCCTCCCCCCGCCTGCCGTGGACTGCCCCCCACAGCCCTGCCCTGAGAGCCCCTAACCCCACAGCGATCCTGCTTCGTCTGGAGGGGGCCATCGACGCCGTGGAGCTGCCTGGAGGTGACGGCGGTGTCACCAAGCCTGGGAGGTGAGGGACCTAGCAGGCAGCTGTGCTGGGCTCTGTCCCTGCAGCGTTCCACTCCATGTGGCCTGGAATGTCACTGGGTCAAAATCCAGAGAGTCTTTCCGTCTTGGAGGTCCGGGAGGGTTTGGTCATTGAGAGTGTCGGCACCGCCACCCTCTCCTCTGGTTCACCTCTCTGTCTGCACTGCAGTTGCCTTTTAGAACGAGGCACCTGCCTCCGTGCCACCTTCTCTTAGGACGAAAAGTCACCTGGAACGTTCTGAACGTCCCACAGGCCTCCGAGCCGCAGGGTTTGTTCCCCATGGGATGGTGGCCTGGGGCAGGTGTCACTCTCCTCGGTGCACCACTGCCAGCTGCGCTGGGACCCAGGCCCAGGTCTGTCGAGGCAGGGAATGTTCTGGAGCGCTGGGCCGCCTGCCTTGTCCCTGAGCCCCATCTGCTCCGCTCTGCTCAGGCCCTCACAGGGCCCGGTTGCTTCCCAAATGGCCCTGACGCCTCCTCGGCTCCCACACCCACAGGGCTTCCTCTGCAGCTTCCACTGCCCACCCTCCCTCCCGACTCTCCAGAACTGCCCTTTGGGTGCCCTGCCCAGAGCCACCACCTCAGGGAGGCCCTGATGACCTCCTCTTGGCCCCCATGCGGAGCCCGAGCCCCGAGCCCAGGCCTTGTTCTGGGTACGCTGGTCTCCTGCAGGCCACTGTCCTCCCCACTGAGGCTCCTGAGGGGAGAGGCCTTTCACCTCCAGGTTTGGGCCTCCCCGGAGGCCCAGAGCTTGTTTCTGGGTGAAGGAAACTTAAAATGCTTTTGGCTGTTAGGTTCCCAAAGTGCAGCCTCATCTCCTGCCAGGCCTGAGCTGCCTCTTTCCTCGTAGCTACATCTTTGAGCTGTTTGCCGAAGCCCAGATCACGTTTCACACCAAGGGCTGCATCCTTGACTCCCTGGACCAGATCATCCAACACCTGGCAGGACGTGAGTCCCCGGCCACCGTGTGCCCTGTGGCTGACTCCTTACTCAAGGGCGCAGCCTGACAGGAATTTGGCCCATGGAGCTGCCTTTCTGATTCGGATGTTGAGATCTTAGCATGTTTGGTGGCGTGTGTCCTATAAAGAGCGGTCTTCCCTGTTTAGCCCCTTTTAGGAAAGAGCAGTGAGGGGCGTGGGTGGGGCAGTGAGCTGTGGGCCCCACCATCCTCTCCCCCAAACCTCCTGCGCTCTGTTTCTGCCCAGAGGGCTTGCATGGGCCTGCTTCCCAGAGGCTGTGCCATGGAGCCCTCTGGTCTCACCGGGGGCGCCCAGCCTTGCCAGGCTCCTGGGCTCTGGGCAGCCCCAGCCTTATCTGGCTGCAGAGCTGCACTTGTCCCACTGACCCGCGGGAGACCCACTGGGAAGACAGGGTGAGCTGCCCTCTGAGGGCACGCCCCTCAGCTGGAGAGAGCCCAGTGGATGGTCAGCACCCGCTGCCCCTACAGGTGCGGGGCTGTTCACCAACACGGCAGGGCTGCAGAAGCTGGCAGACATCATCCAGGTGGGGACCGCCGCCACGAGGATGTGGTGCCTCCTTTCCTTTCCTGGTGGAAGCTGGTGGGGCTTCCTTCTGCAGAGCTGCGGTAGATTCAAGGCGTGGGGAAGGACAAGGCTCCCCCAGCACACGCTTCAAGTCCACACTGCAGGGCTGGTTTCCTCTCGCCCTGAGCACCCGCCGCAGGCCTTGAGGGCGGGGCCAGGCAGGGAGCGGGGCCGCTTAGGGTGAGAGTCTGGCAGGTCCCTCCAGTTTTCAGACAGGCCCAGCGGCTCCTGCCCAGCCGGCTGCCCCCTGTTCTCCAGTTTCTTGCTGACACAGCTTTTCAGGGGAAAGTTAATGCAGAAGCCCGTACCGGAGTGGGGGGCGTGGACTCTGTCCCCCAGCCCCTGTTGCGTTGCTGGGCCAGCCTCGCCCAGAGGGTGTTGAGACGAGGGGTGAGTGTGTCCGGTCGACGCCCATTAGGTGGGGCCTGGGGCTGGTGTTTGGAGTCAGTGGGTGGTCTGCAGGTCCTCTGGGCCAGGCCGGCCTCAATCTGGGCTTTGGGATCCGCTTGGGGGTAGGGGCAGCCTCCAGGGCTCACCGAGCCCCTCCTCTGCCACATGCAGACCCCACTTTCCCCAGGCCAGGCGACCAGGGGGGCTGTCACACGCCTCAGGGCCTCTGGATGTGACCACTTCCTGCCCCTGGCGTGCAGTCCCGTGTGTCCAGCTGTCCTTCTCGGGCCCAGCTGAGCCGCTTCCTCAGCTCAAGTGGACAGGCCAGGGCCTGCCTTCCTTTGGCTGCGTGGCTGCCCAGCTGTCCGCTGAGGGCCAGTCTGATGGTTCCAGGCACTCCAGCCCCTCCTGCGCCTCGCTGGGCCTTTCTGCAGAGGCCCCTCGGCGGCTGTTGGTCCTTGGGGAAACCGGGGCACCCGAGGCCTCGTGTGGCACGTACGTGGCTGCCCACGCTGCACGGGGTTACAGTGGGGTGCGCTTGGCTGCAGACAGGCTCAGTGGGCTCGAGGCCCTGGGTGACCTGCCCTGTAGCGCATCACTCTGTCGCTCCCTCCTTGTCTCTCCCCACCCCTCGCGGTGCTTCCACGGCTACACGACACCTTCCACACTGCCCGCCAGGCCTGCGGTCGGCCTGTGCAGGGCAGCATCCCCGGGGCCCCTGGCCGCACCCACAGGTGCTCATCATGATGGGATGTGGGGTGAGCACCTGCTGGGTCACACTTCCTCCAGCTGGAGGGGACATGACAGGCTGGTGAGCGAGTATGGCCCGTAGGCAGCTTGGGCAGCAGAGGAAGCTGAGCCACCCGCCAGGGGCTACTTAGAGCAGCTGACAAGGGAAATTCCAAACCAATGGGGTTAGTGGTGTTTGGGTTCCAGAGGGTATGGAGCAGGGAGGAACCCGCTCCATAAACGGGCGTCAGGGAGAGGAGGGGCCGTGCAGGCCCGGAAGCGAGGGTGCCCTGCCCTGCTGGCCTGTTCAGCTGCAGGGACCCTTGAGGAGGGCGGGAGGACGGGCAGAGGGCGCCACAGAGGGAGGGCCCGCCTGGAAGGGACAGGGCCTCCAGGGCAGGGCCGGGGCGCCACAGCTGGGGCTCGGGACTCCCTGGAGACCCAGCAGTACTGGTGGGTCACCGCCCGGGGGGCAGAGGCCTGGGACGCTCGCTGCCCCGGCCGGAAGTGATGGGAGGAGGGGGGCAGAGCCCGGGCCTGCAGGATGCCACGCTAGAATGTTCCTTCTTCTCCGTGACCCCGGCTGCTCTTCCAGCCCCATCCCTGCCTCACAGATGGGACGGAGCCCCCAGGGTGGAGTGCAGAGCCGGCCGTGGGCAGGCAGCAGAGCCCAAGCTGGGGAGCGGGGCTGCAGCGGGCTCCCCCAGGGCTACAGCTGCACCCGTGCCTGCCACCTCCTACCCGCCGCCCACCCGTGTCTGGCACTCGGACACAGGGCAGCCACACCGCTGTCTGCAACTCCTGGCCATCCCTTGAGGTGTGAGGGCCGCTCTGGGGCCACAATGCAGGGGTTTGCAGGGGAAGCCATGGCCTCGGAGTGGCCTCACCAGGCGGTGTGGCCTTCGCTCCGGGATCAGGTCCAGTGTGTGTGGTTCCGCCCTTGCAGGCGGACACTTTGGTGAATCGCGAGGCCAGGTGTTTTGCCATCTGGACGAGGAAAGTGGTTCTCGAAGCTCCTCTCGCCCTTGGAACTTACTCCTCACAGGCTGCACTGTACCCGCGGGCCGTGCTTCTGGGCCCTCACGTGCAGGGCCACGGGGTGCCCGCTGCTCCGCCCGGCCATGCGCCCGCATCCCCTGGGCCTGGCAGGAGTTTGCTGAGAACAGGCTGCTGATCTGCGCTTCCAAGGCCTTTCCTGTTTGTAGGAAGATTTGGTGGGTGAGGCTCCTGCCCATGGGTGCTGGTGGTGCCGCTCTTCTCTGTTTTCATGGACACCTAGAAGTCGTGACCTCATCCTCGGCCTCTAACCCAGCAGGAGGCGCCTGGGGTGACGTGAAGACACGGGGCTGTGGAACACGCCGTCCCTTTTGAACGTGTCTTGGCCTTGTTTCTACCAGCCGAGTGTCAGAGGCAGAGTGTTCCCTTTCTGTGAGGAGCCTCTTGGGCTTTGGCCGGGATGCCTTGGACTTTCCGGTTATTGTGGGGAGAGCCGGGGCTCTGTTCTCCAGGGCGGCCTCACAGACTGTTCCGGAGGAAGTGACGTCTGTCTCTTGCTTTATCACCAGTGTTACATACTTTTCGTTGCTGTTGTGAAAGGGGTCTTTTTAACTCACTGGTGCTTGTGCGCAAGAAAAGTGTTGACTTTTATTTGTTGGTCTTGTGTGAAGCTATCTTACTAAGTTTTCAGTTCTAAAAGTTTGTTGTTTGGTTTTCTGGATTTTCTAAGTAGATGGGCCAGTTGTTTGTAACGGCTAGTGTGTTGTATTTTCTGCCCCCATATTTATCCCTCTTGTGGTTTTTTTCTTGGCTCGTTGCATTGGCTAAGAGTACAATTCTGCTTATTGTACTTAGGGATTAATTTCATCCTGTTACTTCTCCATGTAAACGGGGTTCCTTTTCCCTATCCCCTGACCCAGCCCTAGGGGAGAGCGGAGAGGGCGGGCTGCTGACCTGGACCCGGTCTCTGTGACAGCCTTGGACAGGCTGCCGAGGAGGGGCCTGCAGGGCGGCTGTGTCTCTAGTGCGCGGGGCCCCTGAGGGGAGGGGGCAGGCAGCTCCAGCTCCTTAGCCTGGGGTCCTGCCCCAGGGACACTGTTGGCTTGGAAGCAGGGGCAGGTGGTGGCTGTGTCCTGAGTGTCCATCTGTCCTGTGTGGGAGGGACTAAGCAGGAGTGGCAGCCTCTAATGTGTCCTGCTGACTTTTTCCCTCATCTCTGCTGTTCAGATCGTGTTTAGCGTGGACCCTGCTGAAGGTGGCCCCAGTGCCATGGTGGGGCCGGGGTGTCAGTCCTACAAGGTGGGTCTGCTTCCTGGATGGGGAGCTCCCAGGCCGCGGTCTCACAAGGTGGGGCTGCCTCCAGGATGGGGGCTCCCGAGTGGGGCCTAGGACACCTATCCGTTCCACCTCTCCAGGTGCACATCCACCCTGATGCTGGTCACCGGAGGACAGCTCAGCGGTCAGATGCCTGGAACGCCACGGCGGCCAGAAAGCAAGGTACGGCACCTCAGGTGGCTGGGACATGCTCCCCCTGGGGCGGTGCCCCATCCAGCTATGGGCTCCCGGCCGCCTGTCGGTCCAGCCTTCTCCAGGTGATTCCCCACCTGCCCTCTAAGAGTCAGAGCTGTCAAAGTGAGAGACCTCCGAGGGCCCGGCGGCCCGGGGCCTGCCTGGAGTTTCCACGGGGGTTGGCCCTCAGACCCCCGCTGGACAGAGAAACCAGAGCGCCCCGAGACCGGGCTCCTGGCTCCCCAGTGTCCTCCATGGTCACTCCTGCCCTTGCTGGTGCAGGGCTGGCCCAGGACACTGTGGACTCAGAGCTGCGCTTCCATCCTCCCCACTGAGGGGCGGGTCCCATCCTGGAGGTTGGAAAAGGCTTCTCTGGTCCCAGAAAGTGGTTTGCTCTTTTCTGGGAAGTGTCCCTGCTGACCTGTGACGTGGTCTTGACCCGAGAGTCACAGTTTGAGCATCCGCTTGTGCTATTCCATCTCCTGTTTCCGGAGCCACTGGGAGCGCATGGGAGAGCTGGCGTGTCTGCCTGCAGGCCGTGCTCTGGCATCCTCCCTGGCTGGGCAGGACATGTGTAGGATGTCGCCCCTGGCTTCCTGCCTCCAGGGGCTGTGGGCCTGTGCCCCTCCCTCTTCTGCAGTCCCACCCGGAGTACAGGCACGGGGAGGCCAGCTCCTCACTGAGCCACAAGGACATCTAGGGTTGGGGTAGGCTGACCTCTCTGGAAGTGACTTCAGCGTCCCCCTCCCCCGGCGCCAGGATGCTGGCGGGCTTCTCTGGTCTGCTTCCTGCTCCTGGGACCCCGAGGGAGGGCGGGCTGGCCCCCCGGGGAAGACTTGTGCACCTGGGCCCCAGGGCCCAGCACCGCCTTGGGGGACACACGATGGCTGCTGGGCAGGCGGCTTGGGCCTCACACACGTGCCCCCGCCCCCCGCAGGGAAGGTGCTGAGCTACTGGTGCTTCAGCCCTGGCCACAGCATGCGTGAGCTGGTCCACCAGGGCGTCCGTACCCTCATCCTCACCAGCGGCACACTGGCCCCCGTGTCCTCCTTCACCCTGGAGATGCAGATGTAAGGGCTGACCCTTGGCCCCCCCCCGGGGGGGGGTCCCGAAGCCAGCCCCCCCGCCCTGGGCTGCCGGGGTGCTGGGGGTTCAGGATCTCACAGGGGCCACCCCCTGCCTCCCTCCAGCCCTTTCCCAGTCTGCCTGGAGAACCCACACGTCATTGACAAGCACCAGATCTGGGTGGGGATTGTCCCTAAAGGCCCTGACGGAGCCCAGCTGAGCTCCGCCTTTGACAAACGGTAGGGGGCCTGGCGGGTGAGGCGGGTGGCTGAGTGCCAGGCCCCTCATGGCAACAGCCGCCCCCCCCCCCCCCCCCCCCCGTTCCTTGCAGGTTCTCTGACGAGTGCTTGTCGTCCCTGGGGAAGGCACTGGGTGAGTGCCCATGCTGTCCATTCCTGGGCCCCTGCCCTGTTGCGAGGTTGCCCGCCCCCGCTCCACTCCCTGTCCTGCCTGGTCTTCCTGGGGCTGGAGGGGTCCTCTGCTGCTGAGCCGGCCACGGTGCTTGCAGGCAACATCGCCCGTGTGGTCCCGCACGGGCTCCTGGTCTTCTTCCCTTCCTACCCCGTCATGGAGAAAAGCCTGGAGTTCTGGCGGGTGAGTCCCTCCTTCCAGTGTCTTCTGGGGGCGGGAGGGAGCCCCAAACAGCAAAGGGTCTGACAGGGCTGGGCCGCGTGTCTTTGAGAAGGCGTGACGGGCATTCCTTCTCTGCCTCCTCCCATAGGCCCACGACTTCGCCAGGAAGCTGGAGGTCCTGAAGCCCATGTTCGTGGAGCCGAGGACCAAAGGAGGCTTCTCGGAGGTCTGGGTCGCCGGGGCTCCCTCCCCCTGCCCTGCGGGCTGCCCTGGGCTCAGGCCAGCCCCGGGGTGTGTGTGGCCAAGATCCTGCTGGCCTTTTAGGAAGTTTGGGCTTGGGGACGATGGCAGCAGGTCTGCACCCGCCCCCCAGCCCCGGGGCCCCTGGGTTTTCTGGGCACGGCAAGCAGGCACTGGGTGCTGGCTCCGGGTCAGCCTGGGAGCCCATGTGCCACAAAGATGCTGCTGCAGCTCTGCTGGCCTGCCTCCTGCCTCGGACGGTGCTTCATCTTGCAGGGTGATTTCTGGGGTCTTGAACAGCCTCCCCTTCCAGGTGATGGAGGCTTTCTACACGAGAGTCGCCGCCCCCGGGTCCAGTGGGGCTACCTTCCTGGCTGTGTGCCGGGGGAAGGTGAGGCCTCTGAGGTCCGGGTCCCACACACCTGGCTGCTTATCCCCGCCTGGAACCTGTGCCTGAGGGGGGCTTAGGGCTCATGACCTGGGGGCCGCACCGTGGGCAGGAGAGGCTGATCACCTCCCTCAGACCCCATGTCCAGCAGACACAGGAGGGTGTGGCCCTGCTGGTCCTGTAGGGGCCGGCCCTCGGGTCCTAGGCTGGGCATTGGGGCCCACGCATGGGCAGTGGGCAGGTGGGCCGGAGGAGGTTCTGAGAATAAGAAGTTGGTTGTGGGATTCTGGGAGCGGTGGACCCCAGGTACAGCCTGGTTCGAAGTTGGACGTCTCTCCCACCCTGCCCATCCTGGGGGGCGTGGGGCTGTGAGGGCCCAGGCACGGGTGGGCCCTTAGGGAAGGTCCTGGGCTTGAGTGGAGGCAGATGGGGGAAAAGAGTGCCCGCTGCCTCCCAGGCCAGCGAGGGGCTGGACTTCGCAGATGCGAATGGCCGTGGAGTGATCGTCACGGGCCTCCCATACCCGCCCCGCATGGACCCCCGGGTTGTCCTCAAGATGCAGTTCCTGGATGAGATGAAGGGCCAGAATGGGGCCCGGGACCAGGTGAGAGGCTGTGCGGCTGAGGGTGGGCAGGTGGTGCTCAAGCCCCCATGGCTGAGGCAGCCCCCCGCCCTGGCCCTGCAGTTCCTCTCCGGGCACGACTGGTACCGGCAGCAGGCATCCAGGGCTGTGAACCAGGCCATCGGGCGGGTGATCCGGCATCGCCATGACTACGGGGCTGTCTTCCTCTGCGACCACAGGTGCAGGCCCACCCCCCCCCCCCCCAACCGGCGCTCTCGGGCCAGAGCCCTTGCCCCCGGACACCGGCTCTTCCCTCTGGTGAGTCTGCCAGGGAGCTGGGCTCCGGGGCAGGCGGGGCTCCTGGGCTGACGGCCCCACCGCCCTGCAGGTTCAGCTCCGCGGACGCCAGAGCCCAGCTGCCCTCCTGGGTGCGTCCCCACGTCAAGGTGTACGACAGCTTCGGCCACGTCATCCGAGATGTGGCCCAGTTCTTCCGCATCGCTCAGAGAACCGTGAGTCTTAGCGCTAGCTGGCTGTGCCCTCGTGTCCCGCCCAGGGGAAGGAGCAGGGCGGGACCTCCACAACCTCCTGTGAACGTCTAGATGCCCGTGCTGGCCCCCCGAGCTGCTGCTCCGAGCCTGGGCGAAGGAGAAGGCACTGCCTCGGTGGCCGTGTCACCCGGCCTGCTCCGCACCAGGAAGGCCACAAGTCTGGATGTGCACGTCCCTAGCCTGAGGCGCAGACGCACGGGTGCGTGTGGCTGGGCGACACGGCCGGTTGGGGCCCCACAGGGTGGAGGGCGGGGCGCCTCCCGCAGGCTGGTGGCACGCTGGGGCCGACGACCAGAGTGCCCAGCGGGCGGTGGTGGCCTTCGTCACCCACGCGTGCTCCCGCAGGCTTGCTGGTCGCCGGGGACGCCGAGGGCAGCCTTTGTGTGGAGTACCAGCAGGAAGCCGTCCAGGCCCGGCGGAGGCCCGTGGGGCTGCTGGCCGCCCTGGAACACAGCGAGCAGCTGGCCGAGGGGCCTGGGGACAAGGCCCTGCCCGCGGAGGAGGAGGTGCGGGGGCCGGGCTCCCTGGGGGGGGGGACATGGATGGCTCGGCCCACCTGGGCTCGGGCACCACTGTGCTCACCCCTGCACACCCGCTGGTCGGGAGGGCAGGGGGGTTTCAGCAGATGCCTGGTGGTGCTGTGTGCATGCCCCGTCCCGGCACAGCCCCCAGCCCTCAGCTGGGCCCCCAACACACCCCCGTGCTGGACATGGTCCGCTCACTTCCCGCTCCTGCTGTGCCCGAGCCTGGCCCTTTCTGGGAGCCTGAGCTGCGGGCAGGACCTTCTGCCCTGGGGCCTTTGTCCAGAAGCCCATAATTCCCCAGCTGACCTGAAGCTCCCCACTTCCCGCCAGGTGTCAGTGCCCGCCCCCTGCTGTCCCGCCCTCTAGGCCCAGGGCGCAGCTGCCCCACTCGTGTTTCTCGTCCTTTCCCGCCGGTGCCCTTCAGTTACTGCCACGCTGCTGCCCGGGACCTGCTCTCACACTTGGCTCCCTGCAAGGGGCCGAGGGTACTTCTCCCGCCCTGCCGCCCAGGGCAGTGTCAGGGCTTTGAGGGCCTGTGGGACACACCTGTGTCGCCCTCAGGCCCCCCGCCACTCCGCCCCGTGGGGCCCTCGTGAGAAGAGGCCAGCGGAGGAGCAGCGTGGCAGGCGGAGGAAGGTCAGGCTGGTCGGCGGCCCGGTACGTGGGCGGCCCGCAGACGGCGGAAGTTTGGTGGGTGCCTCAGCCGGTGTGGCTCAGGGTAGTGTGAGGTGTGAGCGGGCCAAACCTGCCCAGTGGCCTGACTCGGCTGTCCCTGCTGGGGGACAAGTTCTGCAGGCGCTCTGCAGGCGTGCCGGCTGGAGCCGGGGCCCAGGGGAGGGGGCAGCCGGGCCTGAGGGCGGGTGCAGGGGTGGAGGGAGGGCAGCAGACCCAGGGCCCGCAGCAACCCCACCACCGGTGTTTGGCTGGATTCACTTCCTCACAGACGAGCTGCCTGTTCTGCGGATCCCACTGTCACCCTCCACCCGCCAGGCTCATGCTGTGCCAGGGCCTGGCCTGCTCTGATCCCGTCCCTCTTCTGCTTTGATATTTTACTGTGAGAACATCTCACCTCCACTCAGCTCTCAGAACCAGCACGGGGTTCCCATGTGCCCTTTGCTGCAGTGCCACCGCGTGCCTCACGTCTCCTCCCCCTTACTGGGGTCCCTGGGCAGTGCGCCCCCCTCAGGGCAGACCCTCCACACTTTGGAGTCCTGCACACTTGGCAGATTTGGGCCTTTCGTTTTGTGTTGCTTTTTGGTGGGGTGGTCGGGTCCACGCAGGCCTGTGGGCTCCATCCACAGAAGGTGCTGTTTTCCCAGCTGGGCAGGAGCCAGGCCTGGTCCTTTGGCAGGTCTGGTGTGGGGCCTGCAGCCGGGCTGGCTCCGCTGGCCCGGGTCAGGCTGGGCTGTTGGCACAAACGTGGATGGTGAGGTGCCTGCGTGTGAGGCACGTGGCGTTCCCAGCCTCGGATGAAAGCAGTTAAGAGCAGCTGAGTTACATCCTAGAAGCTCCGGAAAGCCCCAAATGCCAGTGCCTCTGTCCACCACCCTTGGCTTCTGGGAAGAACCAGGTGGTGCCCAGGGGACTGACACTGAGGAAGTGGCCTAGGTGCCAGGGGCCTGGGCCTCTGAGGGCCGAGCTGGGGGGCAGCCTGGGAGCCTGGAGGGTCCTTTTCGAGGGTCCGGGATCAGGGCTGGGGTGTGCAGCACAAGTAGGGCACGGGGCTGTTTGAAGTCCTGGCGTGTTGAGAAGTGTCCCCTGCCGTGGGCACTGGGACCTCAGCAGAGGAGGCACCGCCAGCTTGCACTCTGCCTCTGCTGTGCTCAGCGGGCCTGGCCATCTAAGCTGAAGCTAACCGGGGGTCCCCTGCCAGCTGGGCCAGGCCAGCTAAGCATCCTCCCCAGCGGCCCCCGACGGCAGCTCGCTGCCCCTGCAGATGGGGAGCGTCGGTGCCTCCTGACGGGCACCGGCTGTGTGTCGCAGGAGGGGCCAGAAGCCGGCGCGGACACAGGCAGGGCCAAGCTGTTCATGGCGGCCGTGAAGCAGGCGCTGAGCCAGGCCAGCTTCGACACCTTTACCCGGGCCCTGCGGGAGTACAAGAGCACCGATGACCTCGCGGCCCTGGCCGCTCACCTTGGCCCGCTCTTTGCCGAGGACCCCAAGAAGCACAGCCTGCTCCAAGGTGCCTTGGCCAATAGAGGCTGCCCACTTGAGGGTCCCACCCTGGGGGCCGTGCTGCGGCTGTGGGCTGGGGGGCCACCAGGGTCCCCGGTTGACCTGCAGAGGTGTTGGTGGGGACCCCGTGCGGTGGCTGCAGGCCCAGACCCCGCCCCTCCCCACAGGCTTCTATCAGTTCGTGCGGCCCCACCACAAGCAGCAGTTTGAGGAGGTCTGCCGCCAACTGACGGGCCGAGGCTGCAGCTTCCGGCCCGAGTATGGCCTTCCCCGGAGGCAGGGAGCACAACCAGCCCTGGACCCCAGCGGTGAGGCGGGCCCTGCCCGGGTGGGACCCTCAAACTCAGACCCTGAGGGTAGGTGGCACCTGGCCCTTGGAGTGGGTCTTCATGTGGCCCAGCCTCCCTGTTCCTGAGGCTGACAGATCCGTGCGGGGGGCCCCACTTTGGGGAGGTGTGGGCTCCAAGAACACACATGGCCCGGGCCTCCGAGGAGGACCTGCGCCTGGGGAGCCGTGTACGCACAGGGGTCCTGGAGCCCCGTCCACCCCCGTCTCTACCTGGAGTGGGCCCTGCACGTCCAGAGCCTGGGAGTTGCTGTCCCCATTTATTAAGGAAGAGCCCATCTCTGGACGAGACTTCCCCAAGGACGGGAATCACAGGGGGCCCCTGGGGTTGGAGATTCCTGCCTAAGTCACCCTTCTGCTCCTTTCTGGACTGGGGTGTCCTTGTGCCTGCCCCCCACTTTCCTGCCCCCCGTTTAAGGCGGGGGAGGAGGCCTGCCTGCTCCCTGCTGTCGGGGGCCTCCAGCGGTTGTCTGAGGAGAGTTTGAGGCCCGGTCTCCCCTTGGACAGACCCGTCCCCTCCCTGGTCATGCTCTGGACCCTCAGGGACCAGCTGGGCGCCTCCTCGTCTCCGTGTTTCTTCAGGAAGGAGGGAGCCTGACCCCAAGCTGACCGTGTCCCAGGGTGCAGCCAGGCAGCTGGACCCCCGCGAACACCTGAACCAGGGCCGGCCCCACCTGGCCTCCGGGCTGCTCCCTGCAGGTACCTGGTCCCTGAAGAGGCTTTGGACCAGAGCCAGGAGCAGAGGGAAGACCCTGGCGGGGAGGAGTCTCCTGGGAGCTGCTGTGGTTCTGTGCCCCCAGAGCAGGGGAGGCCAATGTGATTTGCTGGGAAGCTGGTGGACTGAGATGTGTTTACTTTCCCACCAGGAGACCCCAGCCGCCGGCCTCCTGAGGGGTCCGGAGCCCCCGGAGCAAAGAAGCACCCGCCCGCTGTGAGTGCCTACCTGGCAGATGCCCACAGGGCACTGGGGGCCACAGGCTACAGCCAGCTCCTGGCGGCGCTGACCACTTACAAGCAGGATGACGACTTGGAGAAGGTGGTGGCCGTGGTGGCCTCGCTCACCACCGCCAGGCCTGAGGACCTGACCCTGCTGCAGAGCAAGTGGCCCGCGTGGGGGGCGGGTGGGGGCGGGCAGTGGGGTGGGCGGCAGGGCCACGCCTGAGCGATGCTCCGCGCTCCCAGCAGGGTTCGGCATGTTCGTGCGCCCTCACCACAAGCAGCGCTTCCAGCAGACGTGTGTGGACCTGGGCACCCAGGCTCCAGGACCCTGGGAGGGGAGCCCTGCTGCGCCTTCTGACCTGGTCTGTGGGGCTCGCGGGCCAGGTAGGGCCGCCTGCCTGGTGCTCCTGCCGCCCTGTTGCCCCAGCCCCCCTCAGCCCTGGCAGGGTGGGCAGGTGGGCAGCAGGGAAGTGCCAGGCACCCTTCGGACTCGCTCCCTCCTGTTTCCAGGCCCCTCACTGCCAGAGAAACCCCCCGGGAAGACCCAGAGCAAGATCTCCTCCTTCCTTACGCAGAGGCCGGCTCGGGGGGCGGGGGCTCCCGGTCGGCCCCCCGGTGCCCCCTGCGGGCAGGCACAGTCCGAGTGGGGTAGGTCTCATGGGAGGGGCTGCAGGGACCATTGGGAGTGGGGGCCCAGCCCGAGCAGGCCTGTGGCGCTCACGTCAGCCCCCTTGCAGTGGGCTTGGTGTGTCCTGGCTGCAGGGCGGAGGACGTGGTCCCCTTCCAGTGCCCCTCCTGCGACTTCCACTGCTGCCGGGCCTGTTGGCGACAGCACCTCCAGGTCGGCAGCCAGACCCTGTGGACCCGGCCCTGTCCCCTGTGGACGTGGCCTGCTGGGCGTTGCCCCACATTGGTGGGCTGAGGGGCTGGGGTGGGCAGTGGGGTCTGGGAAGGTGTGTCCAGCGCCTCCTCTCCACAGGTCTCTAGGACGTGCCCGGCCTGCCATGCTGCCACCAGAAAGCAGAGCCTCACGCAGGTCTTCTGGCCGGAGCCCCAGTGAACATTGAGACCCTCTGGGCGCTGCAGGGTCTGCGGAGGCTGAGGCCGCCCCTGCCTGGGGCGCAGCCTGGACACTTGCCTGTCGGCTGTGGGTGGGCCAGGCCTGATACCAGAAACCCCTTGGCCAAGAGCGCACCTGACGGGGAGGCCAGTCCAGTGTCCGTGGGGAACCCCCTGAGACGGCAGCAGGATCTGGGCCCCCTGTGAGAGGCCCCGAGGCCACCTTGGGGTCTGGGGTGGGTCCACTGGAAGGTGCTTCCCCAGAACTTCCCTGACCGCCAGCCTGTGGGTGGAGACCCAGCAGGAAGGAGGGGAGCCCTGCACCTTCTGTCCCGGGGACCTTCCAGGGACCTGATTGTTCCTCAGGGGCCAGGGTTCTAATAAAGCTGCCGGCACTGCTGGGAAGCGGTCTGTGTGGCCCGGCCTCGGTTGTGGGGTGGGGGAGCCTGGAAGGAAGGAGGCGCCTGGGCAGCCTCCCTCGCGCCTGGTTTGTTCAGAGCAGGAGCCGCTACCCCCTCCACCCGCCGGTTGCCAGGCCTGGTAACGGGGTCAGGAGCTGCCCGTGGTGCTGGTGGCCTGCACGGGACTGCCCTGGCACTGGGCTCTGCGGAGGGAGAGGTCAAAGCCTGGGACCCCAGGTGGCCGACCGCTCCCCTCAGGCGGGGCGGGGCTCCGCGGGGGCGTGGCCAAGCCAGCCCTTATAGGACGCGGCCCGGGAGGCCGCTGCCACTCCAGCGAGACCATGAGGCTCCTGCTGTGGCAGCTGCCGGCCCTGCTGCTGGCGCTTGCGGCGCGGGGGACGGCGGCGGGCGCGCCCACCTACCCGAGGCGGGACGCGGAGACGGGGGAGTGGCTGGCGTGCGACAAGTGCCCCCCGGGCACCTTCGTGCAGCGACCTTGCGGCCGGGACAACCCCACGACGTGCGGCGCGTGCCCGCCGCGCCACTACACGCAGTTCTGGAACTACCTGGAGCGCTGCCGATACTGCAACGTCATCTGCGGGGAGCGCGAGGAGGAGGCGCGGCCGTGCGGGGCCACCCACAACCGCGCCTGCCGCTGTCGCCCCGGCTTCTTCGCGCACGCCGGCTTCTGCCTGGAGCACGAGCCCTGCCCGCCCGGCGCAGGCGTGGTCGCCCCCGGTGGGTGCAGGGCGGGGCCGCGGCGCCGGGCCCTCCGCCGAACGGAGCCAACTCGGCTCTCCTGACGCCGGCCTCCCCGTTCGTCCTCAGGCACCCCCAGCCAGAACACGCAGTGCCAACCGTGCTCCCCGGGCACCTTCTCCGCCAGCAGCTCGAGCTCGGAGCGGTGCCAGCCCCACCGCAACTGCACGGCCCTGGGCCTGGCCGTCAACGTGCCGGGCTCCCCGTTCCACGATGCCCTGTGCACCAAATGCACGGGCTTCCCGCTCGGCTCGCTGGAGCCGGGGGCACCGGGTGAGCGGGACGGGGGGCGCGGAGGCCTCGGTGGGCTCCTGGGAAGGGCTTCCGGAAGTGCAGTGGGGACAGCCTAGGGGATGCCGTTGGCTGAGGACGTCAGCGCTGGCGGGTGATGCCGTTTCCCGCCGACCTTGAGAAACAGGCTCCGAGGGCTTAAATGGCTTGCGGGAGGGAACGGCAGCGAACGTGGCGGGTCCCCTTTACGTCGCATCCCATCCCCGGCATCGGCCCACGAGCCCCGCCTCCTTGCCGGCCGAGTTTCCCGCGGTCGCCCCGGGTCCTCCAGCACGGCTGCAGCCTCACCCACTCGTTAGCGCGCGGGGATCCCTCGGTCCTGCCCCTCCTGGGCGCGGAGGGACGCTCACGGCGCGCTGGCAGCTAGTCGGGTACCCCCTCGCCCCTCCCTCCCGCAGGGACCGAGGAGTGCCAGCGCGCCGTGGTCGACTTCGTAGCTTTCCAGGACATCTCTCCCAGGAGGTTCCAGCGGCTGCAGCAGGCGCTTGCGGGCCCCGGGGCGCGGAGTCCGCCGCCGTCGCAAAGGGAGGATCGCGCGGCGCTGCGGCGGAGGCTGTGGCTGCTGCTCACGGAGCTCCGAGAGGCGCGGCCCGGGACGCTGGGGGCGCGGCTGCTGCGGGCGCTGCGCGCGGCCAGGCTGTCCGGGCTGGAGCGCAGCGTCCGCGAGCGTTTCCTCCGCACGCGCTGAGCACTCTCCCCGTTATTTATTCGCTCCCGGCCCGAGCCCCACGCATGGGCGGCCCGCAAGTCGCACCTAAGGAAGCTTTGGACCCGGCTTCTGTGGCGTTATAAATTTATTTTTCATAAAGCCGATTGGCAAACGAGTGTGGTGTCTGGCCGGCGCGCAGTGGGCACATCTGGCAGGGGACACACCTGGGCAGGCTGCCCGGGTGCGGCCTGCTGCCTTCCCCCCCCTCCCCACCCCGACTGGGACGGACCCTCGATGGGGGAAGGGTTGTGGGAGACGGGGACAGCGGGTGGCAGCCGTCCCCAGGCCTCACTGCGTGATCCTCTCCGCCCCAGTTGTGCTCTCAGTGGTTAGGATGGTGTGGAGGGAGGGTTGCCCAGTCCCCGGGCTCTCACCGTGGAACAGAAGCCAGCCCGGAGTGGTCAACACGCCAGCCCGTGAGTCCTGGGGCACCAAGAGAAGCGTCCCCCTCGTTACCCCTCCTTTGGGCTCCACCCTCAAAGCAGCAGGGGATTTCCCAGCAAGGGACCGGCCAAGACCTCCCGGTAGGACAGCGTGTCTCACTCGCTTTCTGGGAAACGTCGCTTTTCCCTTCTGGGGCAGGTTTGGATGACGGCTTGACTCACCAATCCAGGGGGACTCCCAGTCCTGGCCTGGCAGCCCCCTGCCAGCCCCGGAACCCCCTACCTGACCCCCAGGAAGGGCCCCAGGGGAGGCAGGGTCACAGCCCCCCCACTCCCCCATGACTCACATCACCTGCAGCTGGTCCCCAGCCCCAGCCCTGACTCATCCCTTTCCCAGCATCTCCTCCTGGGCCCCATCGGGGAGAGCAGCTGGGGCTGTGACCCTCAGACATGAAGCCACCAGGCCTCTGGAGGAACAGTGGACAGGAGCCACTCCAACTGTCTTTATTTCGGCCACAGCTAGGCTCATGGGGGGCTGGCAGCTCCTGCAGGGGCTGTGTGGGAGGGTCCTGAGGACCAGTCTTGCCTGGAGGGCCTCTGCTCCTGGACACAGGCCTGGAAGGGGCTTTCTAGATGGCTCACCCCCGCCCCGAGGGGCCCCGCGCTTCACCGCCAGCTGGGAGTGCAGGCCCAGCACACCACCAGCCCACCCCCGAGGTGGTGACTGTGGCCATCCTAGGTGGGTGGCAGGCAGGCTTGCGGGGAGTGGGGGGTGGGGTGATGCCCACTCCTAGCACAACGGCCTACCTTTACTGTCCTTGCTGGGGATCAAAACAAGGTGGCTGGGCCAGTGGAGGGGGCACACAGCCTCCCAGGCAGGTCTCCCCTGCCCCGTCCTGAGGCTGCATCAGGACAGGGACGGAGGCGAGCCCAGGTCTTCCTGAAGCTGACACCAGCCCCCCAGTCCGCCTCCAGGATCAGAGGGGACAGAGGCTGAGGACGGCCATGGCCCCCCGGCCCCCTCCGTGGGCACGATGTAGCCCTGGGCACTGTGAAGGGCCCCACACCTCTGGAAAAACCCAGTTCCAAGCCAGCTGCCCCACAAGGCCCCACGAGGGTCCAGGCCGGCAGGCCTGCTGGAGCAGCAGCTCCAAAGGGAGTGGTGGCCTGCCAAGGCCTCACCCCGGGGCCCCAAAACTGGGCCTTGGGGGCGGGGCCCAGGCCCGATGTGAGGGTCTGGTGGGGTCCCTGCCACCCCAGCTCCCCTCGACAGAAGAAGCGTCCGGATGCCTACGCTTTTCTGGATACAGAGAAAAGTTTGTCTTAGAAGAAAAACAAAGCAAGTAGAACCACCACAAGGCAAAGCCAACCCAGCCCCCGGGGGGATCAGCGGCGGAGTCAGCAGGAGCTCTTCAGGACAAGCGGCGGGTGCTCTGGGCCGGCTGTGCCTATGTGATGTCCCGCTGCCGCGGCGGCCGGTGCACATTCCGCACGACGCACTTCACCATCCATTCGATGCCCTCGCGCACCCCCTTGCTGTGGAGACAGTGGGTGTGAGGCGGGGCCAGCCGTGGCCCCCGGCGCCCAGGGCAAGCCCCACTCACCCCGTGAGGGCCGAGCAGGCCTGGGTCAGGCAGTCGCGCCTGCCGATCTTGGAGGCGCAGTCGCTGAACACAGTCTTGATGTCGGGGATGGAGAGGCAAGTCTGGGGGAGGCGAGGCTGCGAGGATCAGGCTCAGGCCCGGCCCCAGGGCAGCTCCTAGAGCTGCAGGGGGCACCCCGGGGCTACTCCATCCAGGAGGGGTCCTGCCTGGTGAGCCGCCTCAGGGGAGCAGGTGTCAGGGAAGGTCTACAGGGAAGCAGCACTCAGGGCCCCCTCCACGCGGATGGCCCTGCACCACCACTGGTCAGTGGTCCCAGGGGATGAGGCCAGCAAAGCTGCTGTGCTCAAGGGCAGCAGACAGGTCGGGGTCAGGGCTGACTCCCACCCTGGTCTCTCTGCATTTTCTTTCCAGAGCTTTCTTTCACCTGGGTCTGCCCAGCAGGAGGCTCCTGCTGGCAGCCCTGCGGCCAGAGGCCTGGGGTGGGGGTGGGGAGCTCTGCCCCCAGGGCAGCCATGCTCTGGTGTCTGAGGAAGGCAGCAGCCCTCCCCTGGGAGAGGCGCCCTGTCCCCCGGGAATGGGGCCCGCTGGGCCCAGGGGCTCACCTCAATGTCCTGCTTGTTGGCCAGCACCAGGATGGGGACACCGTCCAGCGCCTCGCTTGTGACCATCTTTTCTGGGGCAAGCAGAGAGGAGGCAGTGAGCGCCCTTTGTCTGCCTCTGCCCGGAGGTCCCCAGGCCCTCACGGACCCCCTACAGGCGTGGACGCACTCAGCGGGGCCCTCCTGACGTGGCGCCCTCCCCCTCCCCCACCCAGCCCAGCTCTGGAGGCGGGCTGTGCAGACGGGACCGCCCGCTCCCCCGCCTCCCCGGCCTGGCCAGCCGCACACACCGAATGCTCGCTTGGACTCGGACAGCCGCTCCTCATCCGTGGAGTCGATGACATAGATGACGCCGTGGCACTCCGCGTAGTACTGGGCGGGAGCAGAACGGGGTGCTGAGCCGCGGGCACCCGGCCACCTTGAGGCAGCCCCCAGCTGGAAGACCCTTCTGGGGTGCTTCCTGGGGGTGGGGAGGGAGGGCAGAGTGGAGAGGTGCCCCAGACCCCCCGGGCCGGGGTGGCCACCTCCCTCACCCACTTGCCGGGTGCTGTGCTCCGAACACCGCTTCAGCCTCCACTCTTAGGACCCACCCACACCTGCTGGCCTGACGGCAGCTGGAGGAGAAAGGATGGGGCTTGGGGTCTCAGCAGACCTGGGGGTGGGGGCAGCGGCGGCTTGCCATCGGGAAGCCACAGAAAGCCCACCGAGGGGCGAGTCCAGAACATTCAAAGCAGCTCTGCCCCCTGCGTGGGACAGAACCAACACCTGAGCCAGCGCCAGCGAGCTCGGAGCTCTGCAGGCTGGACCGGGGCCGGGAGGGTGGCCGGCCCTGGGTTCCCTCCCAGCAGCGGCCACACAGGAGCCACCCTGACACTTAAAACCACCAGAGCCCGGGGTATGGGGAGAGCTATGGGGGGTGAACGGCAGCACCCCTGGGAAAGGACAGACACACGAAACGGGCCTGGCAAGTCAGCCTTCTGTTCCGCTCAGAAAAGAGTACAGAAATTCCCACACTGGCGGAGCGGGTGACGCCCCCACGCACACTCCAGCTCTTGCCCAGCGTGATCCCAGGAACCGGGAACACCCACATGTCCCACAGGGCATGACGCCAACTTGTCCCCGCCCCCCCAGTACAAGTCAAGCCATTGTACCTGCACTCGCTACAGAGAAGGAAGCCCGACACGGGTGGCCTCTGGGGCTGCAGACCGCGTGTCCTACACCCGGGGCCTCTCTGGCCAGCCTGCTGGGTGACGCAGGGCCAGGAGCTGCGGCCCAACCGTGGAGGCCTCCGAGGCAGGAGGGGACAGCGTGGGGTTTGCAGCGAGCCAGTGAGGGAATCACTGCTCTGCCCCTGGGGCCCCTGTGGTGGCAGGGGACTTCAACCCATGTGCAACCGGGCCCCGGCAGACGGGCCCAGGTCCACCGCCATGCCCTCGGGCATCGGGTGACGGCCAGGCAGCAGCGGCAGGAATAGGGGCGGCACCCCTGGGGCTGAGCGTGAGCCCAACCTGGAGCGCGAGGGGCTGCCCTGAGCCCGCGGCACCCGCCGTGCCCAGACCCTGATGGTGGTGTCACCTGTGGCCTCGCACTGGAGGGCTCTCGGCTATGGCCTGGAGGGACAGGCCAGAAGTCACCCCTGTGGCAGGGCGCCGGGGGTCTGCTTGGTCCACAGACCTGGCCTGAGGCTGGCATGCGCACAGACCAGTGGGCAGCAGTGTGCGGCACGAGCGGAGGTGTGGGTGGACGGACAGCAGTGGACACGCGAGTGAAAACCCGCCAGACCGTGCCGCCCCACGACAGCGGCTCAGATCCAGAGCGGGAGCAGAAGCCCCACTTTCCACCCCTCCTGGTGACTCAGAGCTGGGGTTAGGGGTGTGGTCACCTCCATGCTACCTGCTCACAGGGGCCAGCAGGGCGCCCACCCTGGCAGGGGCACCTGACGCCGTAGGCAGGCGGCAGGGCACCCACTCCACCCGAGTCACAGAGCATGCGAGCAGCCCAGGGTCCCTCCGAGACGGCAGGCTCAGTGATCGGGGCTCAGCCCCTCGTGATGAGGCAACGAGGCCACGCCACCAACAGACGTGGAAGCTGGTGGGGGGATGGGGGGGCACGACCAACCCAGTTTCCCCTCAGGAGGAGCCAGTCCCCAACCAGAGGCGTGTGTGTGCAGGTGCACCTGTCACCGGCCGTGGCCTGGCTGCCGTGACAAGCAGTGCACCCAGTGCAGATCCCCTTGTTGGCTCCTGCAAGACCCATTCTGACCCATAAAGAACCATCTGACCATGTCACAGCCGCCCAGGGCAGCCCACCGTGGTGACCTGCCACAGGGATGGAGTCCCAGCCAGCTTGGCCCGACATGGGGCAGCATCTGAGATGACCCCACCCCTGCCCAGGCCCGCATCCCCCCCATACACTCGCACCCCAACCTCTGCCGCAGCATCTGCCCCCGAGACCCTGGCCTATGACAGGATATCAGGACCTGTCTCACACTCCCCGCGTGAGTCTGGAGTTTGCACAGACAGCCCCTAG